AGCTGCCAGAGGAACCGCCAACGTGGCCCCCGATTATAAAACTGGCAAATATATGCGTGGTTTACTTAGATTCTCCATGTCTATTCAGAGCGCTGCCTCGGTTCGTCTTTCAGACAAGCAAGTTAAATATAGACATTTCGGCAGAACTTCGTCTGGTTAGGTAAGCAATATCAAAATGGTACTTTGTAAACTCTAAACCCTTTCTTCATCAAGCAAGTTGAATCTTTGCGTTAAAAGTCCGACAGGGACCTCGAGTATTTGTGTTTTTTTCTAATAAATAAATAATAAAAATGTTATTTTCTGAGTTCTACTTTGTCGTCTTGCGTCTTTTCTTGTCATCCTGCACCGCCTTTTATATATGCAACCACAAATATACGCTTTGGAAGAAATATAACCGCGTGCATGTTGGAGAAGCTGCGCCTCTCCGTTCATGTAGACGATTCGCATAGACACTTACCGCGAGCGCAAAAGATAAGGAGGCCAGAAGAATATTGCCTAGTCAGTCTCGCCCTAGCTATTTCCCGATGGTTCTAGGCTTAATATTTGAGATGACAAACATAGTGATAAAGAGCCGAGCGCCGCATTGCCGAATTATTCACTGATTCTCTCTGGCGAAAGCCAGCTGTTACGCCGACGCGCCGTCGCTTGCTGCTGCCACCGTCGACGCTCGCTGCTGCTATTTCGACGTGTCCTTTTTCGTTTCTAGCACAAGTTCGCCCCCGTTAAAGGCCGCTGTACAAACGGGACGTTCTGCAGGGAAGAACCTTCTCTCCCGAAGCTGGAGACGGGGAGGGAAAGGGCCAGCGTTGGGTGGAATGGGATTAGCCTCGGGGCGAGGCCATCCTCTCGAGAGGGAGTGGGGACGGAACAAAGCTGCGGTGGGTAGAGAGCCTTCATGTGCGCTTTGCTGGGGGTTTCGGCTACCAGGTGGAAGATGAGGTCGTCAAACGGCGACCTCGGATGCGAGGACGGGCACGTCAGAGAATTTGAAAATAGCTGCTTGATTAGCCGGACGACCCAGTGCGGTCTACTGGCTCTAGAAGGTGACTCGGATGAAGAAAACTCGTTTTGCTCCAAAACTGTGAAAGCATTCTGAAACGTGAACTCTTGCCACAAATAAAAATAACAAATACATGAAAAACTACGAAGGCACCTAAGCTTTCTCCTATGATGTAAGAATGCGTGAGCATTACAGGCAGAGTTATGTTGGCGCAACTTGCAATAAAGAAAGAAAAAACAAAGTTATGTTGGCGCAACTAGGCGCAACGAATAGCGCGCTAGTTTCACGATCAAGAGGGCCTAGCTTCGAAACCGGGCAGGGGATGGTTTTTTTCTCGTGTTCTCTTTTTATTTCGTTTATTTTTTTTTGTTCGGTCACGTGACAATAAAAAGCACATGAATAGAATTTTTTTTGGCCACGTCACCAGAGATTTGTTTTTTCTTATTTCTCCTTTTCGTCTGTTTTCTTTTTTTTTTTCCCCTTTTTTCGGTTTACGCTCTCTTTTGCAAAACTCTTTGCACCTATTTCGCGTTACTTTGGCGTCAGCCAAATAATTTTATTTATGGCAGGGAATTCTGCCGTACGTATCTTATGTTACTATTACCAATCCTGGCTTGCAATACGCATAGAGAATTTTGTCCGGCAACCAGTTTGGGAATGACGAGGCCAAATTTGTGTTATAATTGTTTTGAGGTACAAGCATAATTTCGGCCTCGTTATCCGTCGGTTTCTATGATTGGCTCTTCAAGTATCTTTTGGGAAGGCAGACGACTGGCATTTTTAGAGTGCACGTGTGTCGACCAGAGTGAACATTGCTGAAGCGCCTCCAGTGTGATTTTGGCCGTAAATGACTGGAGGCCCCGGGCAAACCCTCCCAATGTAGAAAAGTATCTACCTTTCTGGTTTCATAGAGAGCTACGAAAGGGACGAATCCCAGCCGAGTCAAACTACCGGCTTGCAAATGCAGTCGTGTTGACAATAGCTCCAAGGAGTTTGTATGACTCTCTCTGGCGGTGTGCAGAGGGCAAAGGCACGGAGGTAATATACGCTTTCGCCTAGTCACCTCGCAAACGGTTGGGTATTGGCTGCAGAGATCCATTTCGCTTTGTTTTATCACCGGGATTACAGCTTGATTTCTGTGTTCCTAATTTCACAGAGAGAACGAAATCGCTTTTCTCGTGTGGTGTCACGGCGGGGAGACAGAAATCAGTGTACCGAAATTCAACGCTGGTGCTCGTTCTATAGCGCTTCTAAAAACCGTGCGATCACGGCTGTGCAATGTTAAAGGGGCCCTCCAACAGTATTTGAGCGTCGACTTTTTTTTGCGGTTTCTACACGCTAGTGGTACCGGAAACCCAGTGGACAACGAAAGAGTTTGAAAATATTAGCGCATCATATTTTAATTTGACAACTCGGAAACACCTCCTCCGACGGTGGCGCCGCGAGGTGCCGAATGCGCGCGCAAAACTGCGCTCCCTTTCACAATACGTCACATTCTCTGGGTTTCGTGATTGGCGAGAGCCGTCCCAGGAATTTTGAAACGAAATAAAGTATCACACGTTAACCGTCATTGTTTTTCAGACAAGTCATTTTTACAGAGCTCATAAAGTTGCAAAGTAAAGTTCAAAAAGGGCGAAAACAACGGCTTGTCGCTCATGCGCGCCTCCCAGCGGCGTCCGCGACGTACCATCGCGAGCAGACGACAAGTGATCCGTGCCAACAACGCGCATCGTATTTTCACTTGTGCGCCCCCGGTTCCGGTCAACTAAAAGCAGTAAGAGGATCCAAGGGAACCCTTATTTTCTTTTAGTGCTGTGACAGACTTTTCACTGTTCGAGTGAAGTGCGGCGACGGGACCCAGCTTATATCGTGCCCAACGGGAACGCTCCCCAGTTTGTACCTCCTACTCGCCGAGGTGGCGGAGTTGCGGGAGACGAGTCTTCCGCGGCTGTCGAAGCGGACTGAGGCAGAGACGCGGCGCTTGCGTGGAGTGTCCTCGTACGGCGCGACGCCCAGATCCGTACTCAAAATCCGATAAGCCCGGTATATTCACCGATGATGGCAACCCGATCTCAAAGCTACGATGGTTGCAGCTAGGCCTAATGGCCGACGAGCCGACCGGGCCGACGGGCTATCAACCAAACTCGCGTCCAATTGGCCGACCACCTTGCTCCAATCGCTGAACTGTTTCATTTTACGTCATGAAGCGCAATGTTTTGCTTATTTAAAGTTGTTTTCTACAAAATTTAATTTGCTAATAACTCGCAAAATATTGCGAATTTCTGTAATATTTTTTTCCTCGGTGTTCCTGCTTTCATGGAGCTCCGTTTCAGCGCGAACTTCAAACCGGTCAAAAAATTGTTGGTGGGCCCCTTTAAGATTGTATAAGCTGCCATTACTTGTACTCGTATTGCATCGTGAGGGAACGACTATGACTGGGTAAACAGGAATAGGGAGAATGGGTGCGTGTGATTTGTTGAAGTTGGAATCAACAAATCAAGCTTCAACGAATGCGATAGTATTGCATTCACTCAACCAGCTATATGAGTTTTCAGACGGTATATACCTTCTAAGTATGCGATTCGTGTTCTGCCAGTGGTACCTCAGCTAAATTAAAAAGCAAAATCCACGTTGAAAAAAAAAAAAAAGTTTACGGTGACTCGAGTTGCTTTCACGCAGAATCATGTTTCACGTAAGCGTAATCTTGGGGTCGATGCACGACGATGGGTCTTCAATCATAAAAATATTTTGATTACGATTATTCGCAACGCTAAAAATTTGAAAGCCAAGCAGTGAAGACAACGGTGTTCTTTTAAATATTATCTACATTTTATTTTACACTGTTTGAATACGCTGCCGTCGTTATGTTCTTGAATTATTGGCTAGCTTGTGGCGGACAGGGAAGTCTTGCAGGACCATATGATAGGACCTACACTAAACCTGCCGCGCTTCGAAAAATGTTAGTCCAATGCATACCAGGTTAGCGCAACCAGTCGCTGCCGGCGGCGTTTTCTTTTTTTTTTTTTTTTTTTTTGGGGGGGGGGGGGGGGCAGCGAAATAATTTTTGGTCAAGCAGCAGGCCCCCTTTTCGGCGGGTTAGGCCGGATTAACGGAGGCGTCTCCTGATCCATTCTCCGTGTTGTCCCCCCGGGGGGGAGGGCGGTAAACAGGGGGGGGGGGGGGGGTGAAGGAAGGAAAGGAGGGCAGGAGAGGAGGAAACGCAGGAAAAGTGGAAAGCGCGAACTGTACGGCGGCCTTTAACCGCTTTCTCGTACCTCGTTGTGTGTCATCCGTGGCAATACTTTCATTGTTTCCTTGCTGGTAGGCAACGACATCCGTGTTCGACTTGGATGAAACGTCGCGTATGCAATGTAGTGTACGTTTCAGCGCCGCTCCTCGGTTTCTTGAACTTGACTGCGAGTATTCCAAAAATATTATACTCGGATCAATTTCGCTAGTCTATTCACTACGACATGCTTGTTTGGTTTCCTACTGCGTCACGCAACTTTGCAGAACATGGTTATTTCGGAAAATGTGTGTCGGAAGCGATCTTGGGAGCGAAACAGGCTAGACTAATGTATGTAGTTCGTCTCTTATATTGCATCCACAGTTTTTTTTAAGATATGTGATTGTTCCTGCACGCCGATTTAAATACAGGCTAAAGTCCTCGTGTGGTTCGGCGAGGAAAGGTCAAGGGAATTTTACGAGTGAATGACCATCAAAGCTAAAGACGGCGCTTGTGTCACGCCTTCCCTGGCGTTAATTGACAAATAACTTATATGCATTAACCATTCTACATGACGTTTTTGGCTTCGGTGTTTTTTTTTTTCTTCCTGCCACTCTTATAAAGAAGTGAATGAACTTTTAATTGTATTTTCCTCAAATTTCTACGCTTACCGTTACATGCTTATACTTTTCTCGTCTCAGGCATTTCAAGTATAATTAGTTATTTCCTTTTTTTTTCTTTCTTATTTCAGCTCAAGCCATTGGCGCTGACCTCATGGATCTTACACAAGGAGCGCCTCAGGGCTGTGAGGCAACGACTTCCTTTCTCCACACAGAGAGCAAGGTAGAGCCCACGTGGCTGGAAGTGCCTATGCCCTGGTATGCGAAGGTCCTCAGCTGGCTGCTGAGTTTGGCACAACTGCCGCATAGTGTGGCACTTGTCCCCGACGGCAACAGGAGGTGGGCCAAGCAGCGAGCTGCACCCCTGTACGAAGGACACATCCGTGGCGTCTTCAACATTCAAAAGGCAGGGACCTGAAATCCTTCTTGGTTCGATAATCAAACCCATCGACAAGGGCAACCTAAATTTAAAATATGAGCGTGCCTCTACTTTCCTTCAACGTTTCTTGAGCGGAAAGTGAACACTGCAAGCTGCAGTGTCCACAAAAGGATGCAAGTTTTTTTTTTGTGTGTGTGTGTTTTTCCAGCAAAAATATAAAAGTATGTATTGTCGAATGCTTATTTCCCGCCCAAATGTAGTGCTAGCGGTTCGAACCAGATGCCGAAGTTTTAAAACAAACCGTTATCTTATTTAAAAAGTATTTTATTGTTATTTATTTATTTTTTTACTGTCAAAATGACAGCTAACGAAGCCCTCAATTCATAGAGCTCAATGGCCCAAGTTATGAAGAACGGAACCCATTTTTCCATTGAAATTTTAAGATCACACACAACTTTCTAATAACCGTTAGTTCTGAAATCTTGACATCTTATTGGGATCGCTAGCACTACATTTTGGTTGAGGCTAAGCGTTCGGCGATGCGTCGTTTATTTTTGTGGCAAAAACAAAAATCTATATTTTAACACATAGTACTGAGCCGTTTTTCGCCCTTTGCAGCGTGGTGAGAAGTGTGGTGAGCATTACAAAATTTGAGCAGCCTTTATCTTTAAAGTCTTATAATGAGTGGAATGCAGCATTTAAAAAAGCGATTGTTTAGATTTGTTTTGAAGATTTCAAACGGTCGTTTTGGGGGTGGGGAGAGGGAAAGAGGGAAGAACATATTGCTGACTAGTTGATATAAATTGGCCCGACGTTACACGACGTGGTTACCAAGAAAGGAACGAACCAATCTTACCAATTCACTCTAAAAGAAGAGTGTAGTTTTACACCTTTTCTCGTGTATAATACACCCCGAAACTTCAGTTCAACGCACAGCGCACTCACGTCGAACTTGAGGCCTTAACTCTTACGAGGTGCTTATAAAAAAACTTATTAAACGGCTAAAGTACGTATCTAAGACCTCAGAAAAAACAAATACTGAGATTATGCAGTAGGGCTAACGGAACCTCGATCATATTGTTTTAATCAGTAACACGCACATTATATATTTTAATAATCCCTCGGCTCTTAAGTCGCTCACAAAATTTGGTACCATCGGTTCTATGTCAGTGCGTTGTACATCGAAATGAAGTTTTGGGGTGTTTTATACGTGACAAGGGGTGTAGGACTACACCTTTTTTTTCTTTGAGCATATCTTGTACATTGATCTACACACCTTTCTGTCCACAATCCTTGAAACATTTCAAGGAGTCTTTATTTTAACGTCGATGAACACTTCGAAATAAATACGTCGTCAATAACTGTGTTTTTTTATTATGGCAAAACTATTTTGAGATACAACCTTGGATCTTTTATGCAGTAGTTTCGCCATCTTTTCATTACACATTCCCTTAACTGAAAAAAAATAACCTGTCCTTTTCTTAGGAACCTTAGGTTTCTTGAGGTTAGGAAGCGGTATAAATATTACTTTCAGTAGTTTTACTATGTTAGAGTTTAATATTTTTTGCATTGGTGTTTTCAATGAAAAATGTAATCACAGGTCAGAACATTTGTTCTTCCTTTGAATTTAAATCTTTTTAACAGCGGCTGTTAAAATTCACTACTAATTTTTCCGGATTGTCGTTCTGACTGAGCTATATTGCAAGAAAGAGACGAGGTCAATTTTAAAACGTACGTTTGACGTAAGTGCGTTGTCATTTATTTTGCGCGATTGCTAAATAAAGCCCTCATAATATAATTTACAGCAGCTTTCTTCATTTTTTGTTTCTAAGTTTGAACAAACTCTTTGCAGTTCCAGGCTGCAGCGATCGCATTAGGCATACTCCAGTCATCCGTCTACGCATTCAGCGTCAGAAACCTAATGAGGCCTGAAGACCAGAAACGCTACATTTTCAACATCATGGGTGTCATCGCTGGTAACATCATTAAGAACTGGTAAGTTGGCTTCAATTTACTGCTTAGGTCCGCTTACCCGACTCCCTTCGGCCTCGGGACTTATCGAGGCAATCGGATAAGAAGCTAGCGTGGATCGAGTTCGATCAGGTTCTACTGTTGCAAACTTCTAGCGCGACGTTCGATGAAACTTAAATGATCGATCGACTTTTTGTGCTGATGTGCGAAAATTGAAAACAAGACGATGTTGCTGGCAGCGAAAAAGAGCTATACGTATTGAGAATGTTCTTTTTTATTATTTCACTTTAACAAACTAACTAGAGCGTGACAAGTATGCATGCTTGCTTTTATATCGCATAAGGAGTGGTAATCAATTTTACAAGACGTAAAATAAATTCCTTTGTGCATTATTTGTTTTCCCCAGGTGCGAACTTATTGCGTAAAAATCAGGTAACACTGCAGTAAGTCGAACTTCGTCGTATTTTGGTCAGAGTTCGAAAGTTCGTCGAACCAGCAAACGTCGAGACTCGGCGTCAAATAACAGGTTCAACAAAAGTTCTCCACACCCTTATAACCAGCACCCTCATGGCAGCTACTTTTTGCAGTTGGTCGTAAAAGAGCACATCAAAAGGATGTCAAGAACTGATGAGACAAGATATAGGATTGAGGGGACGTGTGAAAATGTTAGCGTTGTACATTAAAGATACGAGCTTACACTAACAGTTTTCAAAAAAGAAGGATTTTGTGTAAAACCATTCTTTTATCACTCAGGGAACTCTACCAGAAGAAGAGATGGTCCGTGATGATTCCGGGCGACGTTGACCTTCTTTCAGATGATGTCCGCAAACGCATAGCCACGGCGGAGTTGTTGACTCATCAGACAAGGTCAGTTTCCCCATTATATATTACAGCGATAACTGTCATGGGTATCTAAATGTTCGTTTGTCGTCGATATTGTCACGTGACACCAAGGGTCACCAGACGTCTTGATCTCAAGTGATGTCACACCGTCACGTGAAGTCAGTGCGTCACCTGACGCCACACATCAATTGCAAGAGGCATAAGGATGCATTATTAGAGTGTCTGTTACAGCTGTCGCTGTGACGGTACTGTGACGGTACAGCAGTACTCACAGAGTACTGCTGTATTTTTAGTTTGGCAAGCTATCACCTGGCGAAATAAGCTAAATTTTAATGGAAGCGCCAGAGGAACCTTATCTGCGCTCTCAAATTATTTGATAACCAGGCTGACACTCAGTTGACATTGTCTGCTTAGGAGCAGAGTGTCGATCTGAAATTTCTATCAGTACGGTTCGGGTTTGGGTTCGGGTTCAAGGCTTTCGGTTAAGTTCCGGTGCAGTGCCAGGGAGCAAAAATAAGGGTTCAAGTCGGTTCCCGAAGGAAAAATCCATCAATGCAACGCTGTTTGGCAGTCAATGTTTTCTAGTGGACCGCTGACAGTGCCTGACTGTACGTCAAGCACGTCTGATTGGCCAACAAGTTACTCTGGCCGACAGTCAAACTCCAGTCAGACCCCGCTGGTCGGCTTTCTGATGGTTTCCTGGTGGCAGTAGGCCGCCGCGAAATGCCATCAGGATGTCCTGGTGGTGATTCTGACTGTACATCGATTGTCTCTGACTGTACGTCAGAAAGCTTTGACGTGCAGACAGAAGTACGGTCAAAGGACGTAAAGTTCGTTCGGATACCACTATTTCGTCAAATCTATGAATACGAAAAGTAATCTATGCACGAGAAAACGATTTCGGGACGTGAGCCCACAAAACCGCTGACGTTAGAGATGTGACACGCAACCGACCGACAACCTTGATCAGAAGACCGCCGAAGCGCCGAACACGACACTTCGCACTTTGCTTCGCCCATAGAGGCTTCGCCGAGCTTTCATGAACGATCGCTCTCGACTCGTTTTGTTTGCCCGCTTGCTCCAACCTGTCGATCCTGCCCGGGCTCTACAATGCCTTATGTTTTAGTGGAATTTCTACTCGACAAGACCCAGCCTGTTGTGAGTTCCGACTATGTAAGGGACTTTAGCGGTGTAGTTGAAGACGACAAGGTGTACCAGGTCTACTGGGCCGATGACGCGCGAACAAAAGGATCATTCTACGACGCGAAAGTACTCTACATGGCAGGTGAGTAGAACTGAAGTACGGCGAGTGATGTACGAGTGCTTTGCATAACATGCTGACGGCTTAACTGCATTTGCAGCCGAAGCATCTCGTATAAAACGAAAAGTCAAATCGAGTTTCTGTAACTGTGGCGTAGCATAGCGGTTAAGGTGTCCGATTTGTACGCAAGCGGTCGCGGGTTCGATCCGCGGTAATCCTGTTTTTTTGTTTTTTTTCTTTTTTTCGAACATTTTGTTTTATCGAGGCATTTGGCAATATTTATGAGTGCGTATAGCTTTACTCTTATATAAATGCTGCCCTTGATGATGAAATTCTCTTGGCAGTGGCAGTCAGACGTCATCTGATGGACCATCAGATGACGTCTGATGGTCCATCACGTTCCACCAAGGCTGCTGACTGGCAGTCAGTGTCCCAAATTACGTAGCTTGATGGAATTTTCAATAGGGTTTGAACCGGTTTAAACCACTTCATTTAGAATTCCTTTTTCTGCGTGGGTTCTGGCAATCTGCGCTGTTCCCGCCATGAAACAATGAACTACCTAGCTTTTTCTATCCTTCGTAGATCCTCCTTTATTTTCAGGCGCCAAAATATGAAATTTCGTCATTTAATTTCGACACAAGAGTAAAAGAAAGTCTAGATTAACATAACAAACAGCCTGTTTATACGACTCAACACCCCTGTTGAGAAACAAAGGATGAGAAAGAGCGCGCAGACGATTGGAAAGCACGCGGGGCTTGGGCACACGTAAGGTTAGTGTTCCATAAACGGCCACACAAGCAGGACACGTCTTGGGTCCCTTCCTCCACATAAAATTGTATTTCATTTCATTTCATTTCTTTAACCCTTAAATGCCCACGGGGGCTTTACATAAGGGGGGCAAATTTAAACACTCAAAATAACACACACACAAAAAAAAGACTAGGATGTTTATGAACACATGCAAACAGGACGCTAGGTGGTGACGAGTGGGGAAATGGCAGATCTGAAGTTATTACATTCTTTGATGCTCACAATAGGTTCCGGGAGGTTGATCCAGTGAGTAATAGCCAATTGTAAGGGAGAAAATTTGAATAGGTTTGTCCTAGGCGTAGTCAGTTGAATTTTGAGTGGGTGGTCAGTGCGGGGGGAGATGTGGATGGCCGGAGGGCATTATTCATCTTTTTAGAGCGCAGCTCTTAGGGGCCCGTTCCCGGCTTGAGCGGCGTCGGCGTCGCCGTCGGCGTAACCGAGGTCATCCCAATGTCACGCGGCCCCCTAAGGTCATCACAAGGTCACGTGACACCCAAGGTCACGTGACACCCAAGGTCACGTGACACCCAAAGTCACGTGACCCCCCGAGGTCACGTGACCTTGGGGGAGGGGTCACGTGACCTCTGGGGGTCACGTGACCTTGGGGCGACCTTGGGGGTCACGTGACCTTGGGGTGACCTTGGTGGTCCCAAGGTCACCCCCGAAGTCACGTGACCACACCCAGGGTCACGTGACCTCCCCGATGACGTCATCGTCAATGATGACGTCACCGGCATCCGCATCGTCATCGTCATCATCACTGATGACGTCATCAGTGACGTCACTGATGACATCACCGGCATCCGCATCGTCATCATCACTGATGACCTCACCGACATCCGCATCGTCATCGTCATCATCGCTGATGACGTCATCGGAGTCCGCATCGTCATCGTCACTAATGACGTCATCAGTGACGTCACTGATGACATCATCGGCATCGTCACGTGACGCCCCAAGGTCACGTGACCCCCCCCCCCGTACCCTTCCCTCCTCCTCCTCGAGAGCTGCGCTCTAATTCGGTGTTACAGGGAGTTGTAAACGGCTTTCATTTTTTAAGGGAAAGTTATAATATAGTTTGTGCAGGTGGCTAAGACGCGATACTTTTCTTCTGTGTTTTAAGAGCGGGAGGTTTAATTTTGCTTTCATTTCGGTAACACTTGTAGGCTGATAATTGTGGAGAATGAAACCTGTAGCCCGGTTCTGCACAGCTTCCAATTTTTCCTCCATATACAACTGATGGGGATTCCAGACAATGGATGCATACTAGAGTTGAGGACGGATGAGAGAATTGTATGCGATGAGCTTTGTTTCTTGCGTGGCCTTATAGAGATGGCGCTTTAAAAATCCCAAACTTCTGTTTGCTTTCGCAGATATGTAGTAAATTTATATGAGGCTCCCATGATAAGTTATGGTTAAAGTTGATGCCAAGATACTTGTAGGATGTTACGGCTTGAATTGGTATGGTAGAAAGTGAATAGTCAATCTGAGTAATGTTTTTTTTTAGTAAAGTTAAGACATTTTGTTTTGTCAACATTGATCTCCTTTTGCCACTCTCGACACCACGCTTGAATTTGTAACAAGTCATTTTGCAAGAGGGTACAGTCGGTTACACTCATTATTTTTCTATAAATCACGTAGTGGAATTCAGAAGCTTTGGCAGATCATTTATGTAAATTAGAAACAACAATGGACCCAGCACGGTTCCCTGCGGTACTCCCGATTTAACAAGTTTTCGTGACAAACAATTGTTGTCTATAACAACGTTATGAGTTCTGCTTGAAAGGAAATTTTCAATCCAGTTTATAACGGACGTTTCTACTTTAAGTGCTTTTAATTTTTGGATAAGACGGCAATGTGGAACTTTATCGAACGCCTTTTTAAAATCAATGAAGATAGCATGAGTTTCGTGTTTTATATGTAGGTTATGGTGGATGTCCGTTAAAGATTCAAAAAGCTGAGGTTCACTGGAGTGCGACCGCCGGAAACCGTGCTGGTTTGTAAAGAGTATATTGTTTACACATAAATAATTTATTACATTTGAATAAACGACATGTTCTATCAATTTACTTACAACAGAGGTTAGAGATATGGGTCTAAAATTGGTAGGGACATCTTTTGCGCCATCTTTAAAAATCGGGACAACCATTGCAGATTTCCAGCCAGCCGGAACAACACCAGAGTCAAGGGATTTTTGAAATATGCGGGATAAGAGTACACTAGATATGTCACTTGTAATCTTTAGCAACTTTGTGGTTATAAGTCAGGACCGGGAGCCGAGTTAGATGGTAGATTTGATATTAATTTTGAAATACCGTCATTTGTCACAATGATCCTATCCATTTGGGTGGTTATAAGATATTCTGGGCAGTAAGAGGGTAATGGAAAAATTTCATCTGTGAACACTTCACTAAAGAAGGTACAAAACAGCTCACAAGTCTCTGCGGTTGGTAAACTTTTTTCAGAGGCGTCAGTCAAGCTGACCGAGTCCTTTACCTGCTTTGGATTCACAGCGGACCAAAACTTTTTGGGGTTTGTTTTCAGTATATTACAAAGATCGTAATTAAAGAACTTATCTTTCGCATTTTTTATTTCATATTTGCAAGTTAAATAACACTCCTTGTATTTTAACCATAAAATAGCAGTCTGAGACGCCTTTGCGACACGAAAAAGCCTATTCTTTTTATTTAGCAACCTCTTCAAACGTGTTGAAAACTTGAAAACCACGGGTTCGAAAACGACGTGTGAATGGTTAAATTCTGAACAAATTTGTCACACAACTCAAGCAATTCATACTTAAACAAAAGCCAGTTTTCATTCAGAGACCTAGAGTCAAATTCATCTAAAAACCAAGCTGAAAATAGCGAAAAGTGTTGGTTAATAGCGTCGAGGTTTGCCCTAGCGTAACTCGAAATTGTTTGTGTCCGAAGAGGTTGCTTTCATGATGGAATGA